TTCAGTGGCAAGATGGGAGGAGGCAGGAGACTGCATCCTGAAACTCAAGGGTCAGCTGGCCTGGAGTAAGCAGTGAGCAGCAGCAACATGAGAGACCTGCCTCAGCAAGGTGGATGGAGAGAAGCAACTCCCCAAAGCTGCCCTTTGACCTCCACTCACATGTCATGGCATGTGTGCCCACACCTCTGATGCCCCAAATAAGTGATAATAACAAGAACAAGGGAAGAGGCCTGCTTAACTTTCTTGTTGGTATCCCAGCCTTAACTGAATAAGCACTTGTAGGTTCATTTAATGATTATCATCATCATCATCTTTTTTTTTTTTTTGGTTATTTAAAGATTTATTTATTTATTTATTTATTTATTTATTTATTATGTATGCAGTGTTCTTCCTGCATGTATCCCTGCAGGCCAGACAAGGGCACTGGATCTCATTACAGATGGTTGTGAGCCACCATGTGATTGAGGGGAATTGAACTCAGGACCTCTGAAACAGCAATCAGTACTCTCAATCTCTGAGCCATCTTTCCAGCCCCATAATGATTATCTTTAATTAAGCAAATCAACCCATCCCAGTCATGCTTCTTAGCTTCAATATTATGCTTAAATAACAAATGTGAAAAACACTGGAGACAAAAGTATATTTAGCCCAAGTCTCATTTTCTTCTTTACTTCCCTAATTGGCATGATGTTCATCAAGAGGATTACACACTTATTTAAATCAACTAATCAATTATAATATATAATTCTATATTCTATATTCGAGATGATTTAAATTATTTTATTAAATTTATTTATTGCATGTGTGTGGATAAGCCCATGCCACCACAAGTGTGGTGTGTATGTAAGCATTAGATACAATTGTTTCTCTTCTTCTACCACATATATACGAGCAGGGGATTGAACTCAGGTTACCAGGCTTATTGACAAGTACTTTTACTCATGGACCCATCTCACAAGCTCAGATATGATTTCATTTTCAAAATAAGCCCTTTGCCTTCCTTAGCATTTGGGTTATTATAATTTCAAATTGTTTTTGTGGCAATAACAATGACAACCGAAACAAAAAGGAAAAAACACCCCAAGAGGGAGAAGTTCTACATTTCCATCTCCTGAACCCTTGCTAGGTTAGTACATTTTAAGTTGTATTGATTTTCTATCATTTGTGATCATCATTAAGTCAGCAGTTGGTCTGATTTTCAAGTAAATTAACAGGAAAATTAGTTTTCCCTTAATTATTTGAATTATAAAAGGCTTCCTGAAATTTAACTTATCTTTTCTTGAATTTGTTCTTTTAAGCCATTCAAGTTGACTTAGTATCTATATTTCACCACAAGGTCACTTTTTAAGATTCTTCCTTATAGAACCTGGCAGCTGATAGGCCCAAACAAAAGAACTGCAAAATAGCTACATCATTTACTTAAAACACACATATTTAGGAAAAGTATTTGGCAACAAGGTGGATGTTTAAAAGAACACAAATATAGACTTGAGTACTAAGAAACCTGGAAAAGAAAGGAAAAGGGACTGCCTTTGCCTAAGAAATGTCACTTTAGTTTGCTGGCTTCTAGAAGGTCTATTGAAATGATTTTAAACAGCACTAAGAAAATTATTAGGCCAAGTTTGTTATCCACTCAAGCTGAGAATGTGCAAGCAGACATGCTTGTGTGCAAGGTTTGAGGACTCAGACTCATCTACCTGGAGGCTGGGTGCAAAGGATCTATTACCTCCAACTCATTCATTATTCAAAATTATATTGAGCTCCAACAGTGCAGTAGTGCCCCAGAAACCAGTTACTATGACAAACACTCTAAAAACAGACATGAAGCTTATGTTCAAAGTAGAGGACAGAAAAGTGAATTCAATGTTAGATCTAAGTGTTACTGAGAAAAAAATAGGAAAAGAGGGCAGGAAGTCAAAGGTGTAGAGTTGTGCTGTTTAACCAGGGTGGACAAAAGGAGACACTTGGGTAGATGTGACAAAGATGAGGAAGTAAGCTCTTGTGGGTAACTAGTGGGAAATAACAGAGGGTGGGTACAGAGAAAAGTTCACTTGGTCTTTCAAGGAAATCTTCTAAATAAAGTACCCAACAGGGATTAATACAGGAAACCAACAGCCAAGAAGTCAAAAGCATACATGGCCCATGTACAGACTGTATGAGTCTGAATTTTGACTCAGCGAGATACAAAATCATACAAGAATTTTGGATTGAAGTAATCTGGGACGTATTAAAAAGGATTACTCCAAGACAGGATTGGTGGCACACACCTATAATCCCAGCATTTAGGAGGCAGCTGCCTATCTTGTGAGACAACCCCCCCCCAACCACCACCACCAAAGAGCAAAAACAAGCAAACAAAAATGGTTACTCTAGCTGCCTACTGAACAGAGAAAGCAAATGGGCAAAGTGGGAACTTTTTATAACAGTCCAGAGTTGATATTCACAGAGTATGCCAGGATAGTAACAAGTATGATGACAGTGGTTGAGACTCTAGACTATGCTGTTAACTGTTCCTTCCTACTAGTGTTAAAAACAATGCAGATTGTGACTAATACTGAAGCCCTTCAAGACTGGAACAGAGCAAGGAAAAAAGAGTTCAGAATGGCTAAAGTTTCTCAAATATGACTTTGTATCTCTTTCTAAGTCTACATAGTGAGACCCTATCTCAGAAAACAAAAGAATAAAAAAGTTGTTAAGCCAGGTATTGGGTGGACATTAGTAAGCTCAGCATTCAGGAAGCTGAGGAAGGAGGATTGGGAGTGTAAGGCCAGCCTGAAATACACAACAGGACTCTGATTTAAAAGTTACTGGGAAGAGGACAGCCTCGGGCACTTTCAGGATGGAAATCTTTTCACACTCCATGTTCTTGTCCATTAAGGGCAAAAACCAATGGTGCAGGTAGACTTAGATCTTGACCCATATCTCCATTTTTCACACTGTAACTGAAATTTGAGTTAAATGGTTTTTGCACTGTTGGTAACTAATGAAGTATTTCAAATATAACAAGAGTTTGGTCATGGCTCATCAGTTTTTTTTTTATTTTGAATTTTCTTTGCATTTATGTATCTGGTTATGGCAAAAACAGACATCTAAGTATGGCTATAGGAAGAGAAAGTTTAACTTTGTTGATCTATTGCAATTTCTAAAAATATTTATTCAGTGTGCATGTATATGAGTGCATGCTGTGGAATGGAGATCAGAGGACAACCTGTGAGAGTCTGTTCTCTTTTTCTACCATATGGGTTCTGAGAATCCAACTTAGCTGATCAGGCTTGGTGGGCAAGTGCTTTTATCCACTGACCCATCTTCTTGGGCCCCACTTGATTTTTTAACTTGTAAAATGTTAAAAAGTGTCACTAAGGTTTCAGAAGTCTTCTGAGAAAGTATGAAAAGTGTAGTAGTGGGCGAGAAGATGGTATTGGCAGGATGGGTGGAACACAGCATCATCAGAGGTTATGAGTGTGAACTGAAGGCTTCTATAGAGGGAAGTGGAAGGCTTGCAAAGTCCCGAAAAATGAGGAAGAAATAAATGGATACTATCAGTTCAGAAGTACAGGTGGGGTAGGGGATATGGTACAGTAGTTAAGAGTAACCTGACCATCATTCATGAGTTGGTCCAGCCTTCTGGCACAAGTCTGCAATCGTAGCATTAAAAAGACAATGAGGAACAACAAGAGACAGCACCCAAGTAAGAGTGTGAAAAATGACTTAGCGATACTTAACTCTTAAATACAAAATAAACATCCGTTACTCTGTAGAAATATATACATTTATGTGGTAAAATGACAGACCCTTAGTGACATATTCATTAGAAGTAAGGTAAACGTGACTGTAGGAAGCTGCATATTCCCTATCAAAGCTGAGTCTACACCATCAGCTTTTTTGGGCTCTGAAACTGTGATTAGAACCAATCCTTTCAACCCACACACATTTACAACAGGAGGTGAGCACTGTCTACTGCATCATTCTGACTATGTTGCAAATAACTGAAATGCCTTCTAAATTACTTGAACTTTTTTATTACTAAAAAATTACTTTTTTTGAGAGAGGTTTTGCCAGCCTCAAAACTTCCTGCCTAGTATTCTTAGGTGCTGGAATTATAGGCCACACTACAATGTCTGAGTTACTTCTTACATATATAAAAAGACCTGATAAAACCAGCATATTTAAAGTTCTGGGAGGTACGTATTTATTGTCTTAGACTAGAATTATTTTACCACTAGTAAAAAATCATCAACAAGAATATCAGACCAGGTTTCACATGCACATCTGTATAAAATGTATAAGTATACATTTATTTTCATTAATGCATATATGAATTTGTATGTAAAATTTCCATGATATTATATAGCTCTCTAAAAATCAGTTTTTATTTAGTAAGTAAATAAAGGTGCTAGCATGGGCTTTAAAAAAATCTTTTGGTGTTTCTTCCTGATGGATTCTTTAAGTTTATACCCAAGATTAAGAGCACTGCTTTGCTGGGCAAGTGGCTAGTGGGATATGACAATAGTATTTAGGGAACAATAAATATTCTTTCAAAGCCAGGTGTGGTGGCACACACTTTTTTTTTTTTTTTTTTTTTTTAATAATTTTATGTGCACTGGTGTTTTTTTCCGGCATGTGTGTCTATGCGTGGGTGTTGGACTCTCTGGAATAGGAATTATAGGCAGTTGTGAGTTGCTATGTGGCTACTGGAAATTGAACCCTGGTCCCCTGGAGGAGCAGCCAGTGCTCTTAACCCTGAGCTATCTCTTCAGGCCTGATGACACACACTTATTCCTAGCACCTGGGAGGTAGAGACAGGGGATCCCTCAGTTTGAGGCCAGATTGGTCTACAGATTGAGTTCCAGGACAACCAGGGCTACAAAGAGAAAACCTGTCTCAAACAAAAAAACAAGCAAACAAACAAAATCAAACTTTCTTTCAAGTAGGTTGGCTGATGGCTGTAATTGGTACACTGTCCAAAGTCTCAATGAATTAGTTACATTAAGGGTACTTACGTCAGCATAGTGGCCTATCATATCACATCGGTCACACCGTTTTCTCCAGGAAGATCTTTCAAGACATCTGTGTGTAGAAGACATGGGCAAAGAGCAGTCTAAGCAGAAACGGGCTGGACAGCCATACTGGAGGTGTCCTCTCTCTGAGCAGAGGCAACAAGGCCGGACTTTCTATGTGGCAGAAAAACACAAATTTATCAGTCTCAAATGGTAGGACATTGGTTATTTCTTTCCTATATAATTTGATACAAAGTTATTTCTAACTTGAAATTCAGTGAAAGTCCAACCTTGAGCAGAATTGTAAAATCAGACAAATGTTTGGACCCAGAGCTTGCACACAGCTATTAGTACGTTGCTACCCCAAAGTCTTAGGTCTGGATATAGGCCCAGCAGGCACTTACTTAGTAGCATACCTTACCTTAGAGAGGAATAGTCATAAAGTAGAAATATGCCTGTGAAGAGCTGTTTAGAAGAGATACTAGGTAATGAAGGAATGTGTATATAGGGCCACTACATGGCACAATATCTTAGAGCTAGGTAGATGTACTTTCTTTATATAATTTGTATTAGTATACACATATAAATGAAAACAATCACAAAATTCTAGCAGTGAAGATTATCACACAATGAAATATGCTGTTTAAAGAGAAGATTTCAAAGGGAAACGGGATCATTTCACTCAGTCTTCTAGGCATAGAATAGGAAGTGATTTGCACACAGACACACACCTAATAATGGGGAAGCTGAAATGGATCCCAGGGTTTCCAGATGCTGTACTTACTGCTCACCCCTGAACCAGGCTCATGAACTACCTGTAATCCAACATACTTGAACAAGAGCTGAATCTAAATCATAGGCTTCTAGACCTAACAGTTTGACTCTAACAAGAAAAAGCATCATGCATCTCACGTACTTGTGGTAAGGGGCAGTTTTTTGACAAATGGCCACGTTTATCACAATTTCTACATGTGACATTTTTGTTGGCTGAATAGTATCGGTTGGTCCATCTTCCAGATGATCTGTTATTGCCTATCTTGGCCTAAGGGTAGAGGGAAAAAAATCAAGAATTAAAATTATTTTAGTCAGTTTAAGGAAACCTATCTATTCTTCCTCTTAAAACTACCAATGAGTAAGAAACATTAAATCTTACTTTGTTAAGACACAAGAATTGGCAGACACCTATGTCCAACCTAACCCTGGATGTGGACTCCACCCCGTAAAGGTGGGCACAAGGATAGCCTTACTTGTTTTACACCTGCCTATGTGACTCCCTCCCACTTATTATTTTCCACTTAGGGCTTGGGTCTACCAGGAATACTGATATGCTTTATTTAGTTGTTGCTAACTTCTATATTTATTTGTGAATAAGAGGCTTGCTTGTAATTTTAGCTAGGGAATGTTATTTTTATGGTTTTGTGCTTCAAAACATTATAAAACCATATAACTACCAAATATATCCTTTGGAAAAGCACAGGGCTATCTCTATTGCCTATAAAACTAATTATACTCTCTAAGAGCATGAGATAATATTCTTCCTCTATAGTTCTTGTACATTCTGCTACAATGTGACCCAATTCTAGCTGTCCCATATTCTAGTTATAGTCTACTATCTATGAAAGAACATGAACAAAAGACATCATATGAAATACCTAAAGAGGAATATGCAAATCCCAACCATGCGCTTATCTTGTTTGGCAGAATTCCATCTTTAAAACCAGGCATGGTGGTTCATGACTATAATCCCAACACTTGGGAGGCCGGGGCAGGAGGATCTCGAGTTCGAGGCCAGCCTAGGCTATGTAGGAGACCCTGTCTCAAAAAAAGAAAAATACACACATAAATAAATTTCATTTTTGAAAAAGCTTTATTTATTTATTTATTTATTTATTTATTTATTTATTTTTACCTGTTATTCTCTTGAACTGGTTGACAGTTACCTCCAATGTGGTCATATCTTAAAACTTGACATCAAGTTGAAAACAACTTAAAATTTTTTAAGTATTTGCTACAATATGGCTAATAATTGACACAAGCACCTGCTACATTCTAAATATAGACTGACCATTTCCTTACACTGAAGAAACAGCTATTTCCGGTGTTGAGCTTAGCAGTACCAGGCCATAGGGGCTAAGAGGAATCATCAAGATAAAGAAGAAACAGAAGGGTATCAAATGATTACAACTACCCACAGCTGACAAAAATCAAAGTTGAGTTAAATTTCTGGCAAGTTAAATCACACACATACTAAAACCAAACTTACTCTTCTAAGCTATAGGGACTATGTCTTTAAAAAAAAAAAAAAAAGCCTATTACTTTTCCAAAAGTTATTGTTGTAAAACAAATGGAAATCTATACATGGAAGGACAATATTAACCTATTATTGAGAATTTTTTAAAAATTGATTTTACCTCGATGTCTTTGTCACTGATGAACCAGTTCACTCCATCTTCTCCTACAAAAGAAAAAAATGTTACTCTTAGTGTCTAAAACCACATACAGGCATATAATGATCCTTCAATTTGTTAGCACTCAAACTGGACCCTAACAGTATAAATGAGAAGTGCTAAGTATTTTAAGTCCTTATGCAAGTCTAAAATGTTATTTTTCAGACTTATTTATTTAAAATTGTGTGTCTGTGCATATGAGCGTGGATACCCATCAAGGCCAGAAGCAGGTGTCAGAACCTCTTGCATCTAGAGTTATAGGTGGTTGTAAGCCTCCCCATATGGGTCCTGGGACATGAACTCTGCTCCTCTGCAACAAGTGCTCTTAACTGCTGAGCCATGTCTCCATCTCTAAAATGTTGTGGTGATGGGGATCGATCTCAAGGCTTTGTGCATGACACACGAACACTCTACCTCTAGAGATACATGTGAACCTTTAAAGTCAGGGTTTTGTGTGTACCTGCATATATGTGGGGACATCTATAGAGGAGAAGAGGATGTTGGGTGTTCTATTCTCCAACACTTCACCGTATTCCGGTGAGACAGCGTCTCCCATTGAACATGGAGCTTGCATTCTTTAACTAGGTTGGCAGCAAACTCTGTCTCTGCTTACCACAATGTCGAGATTATAGGTACATGTATGCTCATGCCCCACTTTATACATGAGTGCTGAGGATTTAAACTCAGGTCCTAATGCCAGTGCATTAAGCACTCTCACCCAACCAAGCTAACTACTCAGCACTTTATTTAAAAGCACTCTTCTGAGGAACCGCCATACTGATACCAAAATTGCTGTACGAGTTTGCACTCCCACCACAGTGGAGGAGTGTTTCCCTTTCTTCATACCCTGTCCAGCCTAAGTTGTCGTTGGTGTTTCTAATTTTAGCCATTCTGGAAGGAGTAAGATGGTATCTCAAAGTTGTTTTGATTTGCATTTCCCTGATAGTTAAGTGTCTTTCAGCCTTTTTTATTTCCTCTATTGAGAATTCTCTCTTCAGCTCTATACCCCAGTTTTTAATAGGGTTATTTGGTGTTTTGTTGACTAGTTTCTTGAGTTCTTTGTATATTTTTGGAGATCAGCCCTTTGTCAGATGTAGGATTGGTGAAAATCTTTTCCCAGTCTGTGGGCTGCCGTTTGGTCTTGTCCACTTTGTCCTTTGCCTTACAGAAGCTTCTAAGTTTGAGGAGGTCCCATATATTAATTGTTGATCTCAGTGTCTGTGCTCCTAGAGTTATGTTCAGGAAGCGGTCTCCTATACCAATTTGTTCAAGGGTACCTCCTACTTTCTCTTCTAAGAGGTTCAGTGTGGCTGGATTTATGTTGAGGTCTTTGATCCATTTGGACTTGAGTTTTGTGCATGGCAATAGACATAGGTCTATCTGCAGTCTTCTACACACCATCATCCAATTGTGCCAGCACCATTTGTTGAAGATGCTTTCCTCCCCCCCCATTGTATTCTTTTAACTGTTTTGTCGAAAACCAGGTGTTCATAGGTCTGTGGGTTAATATCAGGATTTTCGATTCGATTCCATTGGTCTACCTGTCTATTTTTGTGCCAATACCAGGCTGTTTTCAGAACTATAGCTCTGTAGTAAAGTTTAAAGTCAGGGATGGTGATGCCTCCTGAAATTCTTTTATTGTACAGGGTTGTTTTGGCTATCCTGGGTCTTTTGTTTTTCCATATAAAGTTGATTATTATCCTTTCAAGGTCAGTGAAGAATTGTGGTGGGATTTTAATGGGGATTGCATTGAATCTGTAGATTGCTTTTGGCAAGATTGCCATTTTTACTATGTTTATCCTACCTATCCAAGAACTTGGGAGATCTTTCCATTTTCAGGTGTCTTCTTTAATTTCTTTCTTTAAAGCCACAAAGTTCTTATTATATAGGTCTTTCACTGGTTTGGTAAACGTTACCCCAAGATACTTTATGTTGTTTGTGGCTATTGTAAAGGGTGATGTTTCTCTGATTTCTTTCTCAGCCTCTTTGTCGTCTGAATAAAGTAGGGCTACTGATTTTTTTGAGTTTATCTTGTATCCTGCAAGTTTGCTGAAGGTGTTTATCAGCTATAGGAGTTCCCTGGTAGAGTTTATTGGGTCGCTTATGTAAACTATCATATCATCTGCAAATAGAGACAGTTTGATTTCTTCCTTTCCAACTTGGATCCCCTTGATCTCCTTTTGTTGTCTTATAGCTTTAGCTTATAGCTCCAGCTTTAGCTAGAACTTCAAGTACAATATTGAAGAGATATGGAGAGAGAGGGCAGCCTTGTCTTATTCCTGATTTTACAGGAATCGCCTTAAGCTTCTCTCCATTCAGTTTGATGTTGGCTGTTGGTTTGCTGTATATTGCTCTTATTATGTTTAGTTTACCACAGGACCTGGCAATCCCCCTTAGGCATATACCCAAATGATCTGCATCCATGCAACAAAGACATGTGCTCAACTATGTTCATAGCAGCACTATTTGTAATAGCAAGAACATAGAAGCAACCTCGATGCCCCTCAACAGAAGAATGGATAAAGAAGATGTGGCACATCTACACAATGGAATACTACTCTGCAGAGAAAAATAATGGAATCTTGAAATTTGCAGGCAAGTGGATGGAACTTGATGAAACTATCCTGAATGAGGTAATCCAGTCACAAAAAAGAGGAACATGGTATGTACTCGCTCATATATGGATTTTAGACCTAGAGCAAAGGATCACCAGCCTATAATTCACACCACCAGAGGAACTAGGATACAAGGTGTATTCTAAGAGATTCATATAAAGTCCTTCACAGAAGGGGGAAGGGACAAGTCCCCCAGAGCATATGGGAAGTGGAGGGGCAGTGAATGGAGAGAGAAGTAGGCGAAAGAGAAGGGGATGAGAGGAAAGCACATGCGACTAAGGAAGATTGAGTCAGGGTAGGAATAGAAGACAGAAGAGAGAAAGAGAGAGAGAGAGAGAGAGAGAGAGAGAGAGAGGGAGGGAGAGGGAGAGGGAGAGAGAACAAACATAAAAGAGGGAGCCATTATTGGTTTGAAGAGAAAACTGAACCTAAAGAAAGGTCTAGAGACCTATGAGACTGCCACCGACTAACAATTTGAGCAACAGTGGAAAGGCTACCATAAATGTCCTTCCCAGATAGTGAAATCAACAACTAACTTATCCACCATCATGGAGCCCTCATCTAGTACCTGTTGGAAACAGAAGCAAACACCCATAACTAAACACTGAGTTGAACTAGAATCCAGATGCAGAGGGAGAGGGCGAGACCAGGTTGCACAAACACATAGAGACAGCTGACCTGAACAAGGAGGAGCTAATGGGCCCCTAGGCTGATAGCTGGGAATCCAGCATGGGACTGACTCAGACCCCCTGAATATGGGTCTCAGCTAGAAGGACTGAGCAGTCTAAGTGACCTCAGACAGTGGAACCAGGATGTATTCCTGGTGCACAAAAGGACCTTGCAGACACATCCCCCATGGAGGGATACTCCCTTAACCTAGATACAGGAGAGAAGTCCTAGTCCCTACTTCAAATGACTTGACAGATTTACATGACTCCACCTGGATGGCATTGCCCTACAGGTGGAATTGGGGTGGGGGGATGGGAGGAGAGGTGAGGGGTCAGGGTGCATGTGAGGGGGGAGAGAGGATGAGGGGGAAGAGAGGGAGAGAGGGAGAGGGAACTGGGATCGGCATGTTAAAAAAAAAAAGCAATTTTACCATTTGTGTGACTCTCAACAATTAGTTACTCTGTGTCTCATTCATATTTTTGCCTGTGAATTGGGAATGCAGTGCTTTTAGTATTTACTCTGACTATCTAAAATCTTCTGTAGGAATCAAATGAGACTTAAAATGCTTTGCATATCAAGCTCTATACAAATATAAAAGATAAGCAAAGGGTACAAATACCCAGCAGCAGATGCAGAAAGAAATTCATCACAATTTCTTTACCTGACTATATAGAGCTTTACTTAGAGGGGAGGTATCTCAATGATTCCACCACCCATTTTTAGGTTTGTAGGCCCCATACACTAGGACATTGCAAAACTTTTTGTGAATAAGCCTCAGAATCTTGTATTGACCTTCTAGACTTGGCTTTTGTGTAGTAGGTTTATAAGCTCTGACCACTATCTCCATCTAAACTCTTCAACAAGTTACTTTTTAGTGAGTCCTCCCAGCAGCATGAACAGTTACTCTGTCCAGTGGCAGGAAATGGACATAATCTCATTTAGATCCAACATCAATATCAGCATTAACTGTGTCTACTGTAAGTTTTTCTAGATGACTTCTACTATATCATCAAACACTTTAAAAAGTATTCTATTTGTTTGTCTATGTGCATGTTGATATCTGTGTGGAGGCCAGAGGACAATCTGAGGGAGTGGGTTCTCTTCTTTCACCATATGGATTCTAGGGGTCATACTTGGGTCATCAAACTTGCAGGCACCTTCACTTGTTACTCCATCTCGGTGGCCTCCACTGTAATATTTTAAAAACACTGAACCCCGAAAACTAGTTCACTTCGTAGATTTAGGAATTCTGCACTTCATTTATAACAACAAAAATAGTGACATAAAGGAGCAAAACAAGAGGCCAAATACCCAGAAACTTCTGGGTGGGGTAATGTGGGAGGCAGACAGAGGAAGTAGAATTGTTGCGACACAGCCTGCATAAATGAGTTTAGACTAGTCACAGGCACACAGCAAAACCCTATCTCAAAACAAAAACAAAACCCAAACTTCCAAACACCCATAAACCATTAAGTATTAATCTGAAAATATAACTGTAAAACTGGAGGACTACAATGTTTTTCTGTGTCAGCTATTTTCTTTTCTTTGCATTGCCCTTTTACAAACGTGCAAATGCTTCCTATTCCTTTGGTTCCTCTCTGGACAAGGGACCTATGACTAATGCAGAAGCTAAGGAGGTGTCAACAAAGGACTAAAAGCCAAGTTATGATTTCCTCCTCCATCCAACCTTACTACTTCCACCTATCTCAAAAACATAAATCAAG